CTTTTTTACAAGGAGATAATAAAAGATCTTTACACGGTGGAAATATCAGAGGCTCCGACAGTAAGAGCGATTTAAAAAATGGAAACCAAGGTTGGCTGACCTATAAAGGTACTATAATTGTGCCCTCTACTTTGTCTAAAAGAAATTTTCTTAACGTTTGTAAGATTAGTGCGAAAGGAGGAAAGGCATAGACTCTTTCCTACATGATATTGTAAATGCCTCTACAAAGGTTGCATCTGGTTCCGGAAACCTAGCATAGAATCTGTTACATTTCCTATTTAATCTTGATGCGACAAGATCGATAGCAAATGGATCAAATCTCCTCTCAATTTCGCGAAAAACTGCTTCCCATTCTGTATCAATATTAGTAACACGCGATGCTATATCTGCCTCTATATTTTTGCTTGATGGAATATACGACGCCATAATCCACAATTTTCTCGTTTCGCACCACTGCCATATTCTACGCGCTAGCTTGCTAAGGTGAGGAAATTTTATTCCCCCTCTGCCTTGTTAACGTATGCTATTGTTTTTTCATGTACAGCCGGCCTTCAAAATTTTGATTATTAATTAATAATGCTAGAGCTTTTTCTCTCTCTAACTCTTTTGTATACACTTTACTATACGCTATTGCCGGGCTAGCTGCCGTTAAAACGCCTAATAATCTTGCTATTTCTCGAATTCTGTACCACTTCCCTTCTTGAAACTGATTCAATAAACTGGTAATCTGCAGTCTCTTTTTTTGCTGTTAATCCTAAGGAAAACACCTCTGAATTAATATTAAAACCTAGATAGTTACATTCTGTTCGAGGTTGTAACGAGCTTTTCTGATAATTTATAATGAATCCTAAACGTTTTAATAGTTCTAGTGCCTTATTATTTGCTCGACAGACTTCCTCAACCTCGTGTATAAAAATTATATCATCTAAATATATTACTGAAACTATTCCTTGCTGTCTTAAATAGTTAACAACTGGCTTCATCAATTTTGTAAATACATACGGGCTGGTACAGAGTCCGAAAGATAAGCAAGTAAATTGATATAATCTATCCAAAAACTTAAAACGAAGAAATTTCCTATGATCTTCGTGTATAGGAATTACATGGTAAGCATCTTTTAAATCTATTACCCCCATATAGGCTCCTTGCGTTAACAAACTTTTAACTGTCCTAATGTCTTCCATCTTAAAATGGACAGTGTCAATGAATTGATTTAAATTCTTAAGATTTAAAATGAATCTATTTGATCCATCTGGTTTTTTAACCAGAAAATATGGTGAAATAAACTGTCCATTAACCTTTGTACATTTTTCTATAATTTTACCTAACATTCTTTCGCTAGTAGAGTCCCTGTTGATATCGCTGATAGCCCACCTGCCGTCTGACAGGTGGGCCCCTCACATTTCCCTGACTCCATGCTTTTTGATGTTTCGTAAAACTCGTATTTTTCTCCGGAACTCTAATGGCAGCACAAGCTTTTTCCAAAGACTTTGCTTCTTTAACTTGTTCGCCAAACTTCTCACCATATAACCATTGATCTGCTTTTGTCGCCTCCAAAGTCGGTTTAACCGTCTTGTTCATTAAAGATGTAATGAACGCCTTCCGTGTTAGCGACTGTTGATGATATATCTCCGTTAACAATTGACCTGTATCACACAGGTATTTTGTGAATTTCTCTTGGTTTATGCCTTCCTCTTGAACATCTAGCAACATAGATACTGCAGCTGCTAAAGTTGAAATCGCCGATCCGACACAACTCTGTGTCTCAACAAAATGTTGATCTCTTTTAACCGCAATCTCTGGTTCAACTCAGGATGAATTTTTACTTCTATTAATTTTGCAGAATTCTCATCCTCACCTAAAATTTTAGAACTTCCTCCATTACAATTTCTTTTCCAGTCAGATCCTGATAATCTGTGTTAATATTAGGTGTTAACCCATTCTCTTTATTCTCTTCTATCATCAGAGCGTCTGTAATATATATATACATATATATAAATATATATAAGCATACTTACGTATTAAACGCATCTATGCCTTATAGGCTATGTTAGAATCGTATGGATTCTAACACTTGAGAATTCGTATGGAATTGTCAAGTCACATTTTTGTATGTTCCATTGAAACCTACCCGCTCGATTTTTATCGAGTATCTGACTATTTTCTTGTCCCAAAGCTCTGGGCACTTCTCCCGCTTGTACTAATGTCGTAACAATCGAAGTGAGGTTATTCAGTTGCTCTTGCATCTTTTGAAGTTTCTCATCAGTCCCATTACTCTTCCTCTTCCTATCTCTTGACTCTGACCTTGAATGCTTTCTTTTCTTTGCCTTCGACCTCTCCGAATAAAACCTACTTTTATCAATTTTTATTGATATTTAAGGACTAGCTACACAAGAACGTCCGATGTACCAAGCACAACAAAACAATAGGCCTGTTCTTTGTAGTTGCACTGCTGAACTGGTGCAATATATTGAAGTGAAACAAATATACGTTTTCTCACTCTAACTTATTGCACTAGTTCAGTAGTGCAGCTACAAAGAACAGGCCTAATATGATCGTAGATGGCGTAGAGAAGCGAGGGCCCTACAGAGAGGTCGCTAGGAGAGCCATCTCTTTTCTACATGCTGAACGTTGTGAAATACCGAGAGAACAGAGACAACTATACTTGTTATACTATCATCGAGAGCGAGACAAGTAGTATAATTTAACATTATTTTCTTATTTACGCGGTACAAAGCCGACTTTGATGTTTAGGGTCATTGTCCTCTTGTAGTATCCATTTTTCGTTTTTCCTTATAAACCATGTTTAAGCAGATAGTAATAAAGCCTTCTCATAAATTTTGACCATTTTGCTAGTTTAAGCAGTTTGTGAAGATATGCAAAATGCCAAATTCTTGCGTAAAGCTACGTTTCGGTAAGTTATCGACATTTTTCACCTCTAAGTAGCGACCTACTTATTTACAAATGTTTTTGACTTTCTCATGTACTTAGCAGCCGCTTGGCATGACATTTTTGATCCTTTCGAATGTGTACAAAGAAATACGACTTCGAAACACGATGTATATTTGACATTCATAGCGAAATATATATTTTTATCACGAAGATCGAATAACAACTAAAGCTTTATCAATAAAGCATCCTAGGCGAAAGGTGCCTACCGGCTCCTGTTTGAATTTTCCATCTACCCGTTTATACGTAAAAATTTTGCGGGACACGCTTTTATTAAACAAACTATATAATACCTAGGCTGCGGATTCGCAACGTTTCCTATTGTCTGAACGCGTCAAACAATATAAAGAAATAGCATTCTTTCGGTAAAAAATCTGTTTCTTTCTAACGAAGCCTGCTTTATTCCCGCCACAAGACCACGATAAGTAGTGGAAATAAAATAGCCTTCGTTAGAAAAAGACAGACTTTTTACCAAAAGAATGCTGTTTCTTTATATTGTTTGACGCGTACAGACAATGGGAAAACCCGCGGCCTAGGTATTATATATCTCCCAGCATAAGATTACGAGCCATGAGGTTATTAATTATTATGTAATATTTAATTTAAAAAATTTCTTTATGAATAAAAACATAAAAGGTAACATGTTTTACACTTATATTGTCCTATAAACATAATATTGCAACTTTTGTAGTTCATACATGATTTGTTGTAGCTCAAACAATAAATGCAATAACTATTTATTTTTATTTTTTAGTCATACACAATTTATCTAATTGTTCAAATAAAACTGTAATATCTCAAATGATGTGGAAAGAAAAAAGAAAAGTCCTCTAGGGCAATTTTTGTGAAGAACATGCTTTAGAAACCATTTTGATAAAGTAGACAGCTTAATACAAGAGTATTCCAATGTTTAACGACCCGGGAGCATGAGTTCTCGTTATCCGATCGAGCAAAAGTTTGGAAGGGATTTCTTTTTTGTCAAATGGAAACTTTTTGGAGGGTGCCGCAGAAAAAATTTGAAAATCGAAAAATAAAGACCACCTTAGTGTTTGTTTAAGTACTTACCGCAATAATCTTTCTATCAGAAGTAGTATACCGAAGAAACCGGAACCGCCCGTTATAAGAACGTTACGTCCTGTATAATATTGGATGACTTCGCTCGAACAATTGCTAGTGTTTCGAGGATCTGACATGTCCAGCAATTCGTCGATGTAATCTTTATTTTTCTGTATCATTTTGTTTCACAAAGAAAGCGACTTTTTCGTTCAACTTTCGTTCTAAGTATACACACTTTTACTACGCAGTTGACAAAGAAAAATCCACAATTTCTAATTAACACCGCAAATCGTTATTTTATAGCGGGTTAGATGACAAATTCTTCGAAATTTCGCCAATGTGATGAGAAGTGTTCCTTCAAACTGTTGCTCCCTGTTAAGATATAATCGCGTAGAGAATCTATAGAAACTAACAAGTTACGTTTATAACAAAATGTGCGACAAACGAACTCAATAGTGGGCGCGTTTATATTGAGAGAGAAATGCACATGACTATAAAGAAGAGTAAAAATATATGTGGAGGGAAACAATGTAATTAAATCCGAAAGACTTACGTTCGTTAGAAGGAGAGAAAAGTACCTTGTCTACCGTATTTTAATGACCACAATGACTCTGCCAATAAGAACACAAATGTATATACGTCACACGTGCATATGTACATATATACATTGTACACTTTGCCTTGATCCCAGTCCCATACATAATTGAACGTACTTTACATTTTAAATCATGTGTTTTCATTAAAAACTGTCCACGCAACGTGCATATAACGTCTAAAAAACGTCTTATGTAAAACGTCTTAATGACATTACCAACAGTTATCTATATATATATATATATATATATATATATATATATATATATATATATATATATATATATATATATATATATATATATATATATATATATATATATATATATATATATATATATATATATATATATATATATATATATATATATATATATATATATATATATATATAGTTTTATTTAAAAAAAAATAAATGTCAGGAGGGCCGACTTGGCTCCTCCCGATACACGATAAATCAAAAAGAGAATAAATAAAATTGTCACACAAAAATGAGAAAAAGAAATCAGTGCTGAGACGACAGCTCGGGACACTACTAGACAGATCGAGACACACGGACGATACCACCAATAGACGAGAGCACCATAAATAGAGCAGCCGTGAAATCGCGATAAAACGGTATTCAAGTTCCCAAACGAAATTAATCTTCCCTTCCCGATAATCAACCGATACGGCAAGAGCGAAATCAAGGTCCCACGTTGGGCGCCAAAAATTTGCGACGTCTTTCGCGAGGCTAGCTCGCGAGCGACGGCAGACAGTCGCCTGTCAGCCGCGTCGACAAATTGCCGTCGGCTCCGGTTCACGCCACAAAACGAAAACGATGAGGTGGGCGCCAGATACGGAAAAGGCCGCACCACCTCGATAAACGCGAGATGCGACAAGCGACACAAACTTCGCGTGCCCCGGGAATCGTCGGGACCGGTAACTCCTCGTGGTTTTAAGTTGGAGACGGGATGGGTTCAGAAAGGGCACAAATGACTCCACGCGTAATCGTAATAATGAAATAATGAACTTTATTGACGGGACTCTCGCACGTCCCGGTAATAAACGCACGGCAATGTTCATAAAGGAAAATGCGAGACACGAGACGGTATTATGCTCACGACAATGAATCTCCTCAGGTAAGCCTTACAAATCGGCGGCGTCCTCTGGGGTCTCCTGCGGCGGTGACGATCCTCTCTCGCTCTCCCGCTCTCTCTCTCCCTCTCTCCGCTAGCTTCTCTCGCTCCGCTTTCTCACTCCCTCGCTCCGCTCGCTTCTTTCTTCTCTCTGTCACAGTCTCTCTCTCTCTCTTTCTCGTGCACTCTCCCGATCGTTCCACATACGGTAATTTCGGTAACGATAGCGTCAGGTACTTCGAATAGTCTGTGCGCGGCTACGGTCGCGGTAAGGCCAGCGATCCGTCGGCTTCCAGATGCCCTCCGATCAGATGATTCCAGAGAATCACGTATCCTCGCTGGTCCTCCTCCGTCGCTTCCTTTCTCACCTAACAGCATTCGGCACTCGGGAATCGGCAATTTTTGGTAATTCCTGTCTCGAGACATTACCTGTCTCGAGACACTGTTGTCGTCGTGGATCGGCTCGCTGTCTCTATTGGCGCTCCAGTTTTTTCACGCTGGGATCCGTGGGACGGTCTCGTTCGCTCGCTGCGTCCGCTTAGCGCCCGCTAAAAGTAAATACAGCTGACAGTCTCACGTCTATTTGTGGTAGCTATGGTCTCGTTATCGAATATTGTAGACGTTATAATATTCGTTAACGCCGAGCGATTGGGAAACGTGATAACTTTCTAATGCCAAAATTATAGGAGAGCGATTCACCTGAGCGAGAGCGATGAGCCATCGGTCGCTGCTCTTTCATTCCTCGATGTCCTGAGCTCCGTTGGTCCTGGTGGCCGGCAAGGGAAGCCGAAGGGTACAAAGTTAGGGACGCGAGAACCTTCGAATCTGCTCCGCTCGCACAAATTAATTTCCATATACGTCCTAGAGACTCACAAAAAAAGAAAATATGCCGGGAGAAAATATGCGGTAGTCATTAATATTCGCGAG